AATAACAACCCAATGATTCATGCATCACTAAAAATTGAGGAAGGTCCCAGTGCTTGGGGACGGGATGGGGCCCACCCTGGGATAAACCTAAGGAAGAAAAGTGACAAGAGTCACAGAGGATGGGCAGTCACGGATCGGGGCGGGGGGGAATCTGTGTCACTGAAGGGAACTCTTGAATTAATGAGACAACAGAACCATTTCATGTTTTCTGTAATGGTGTTCGTAGTGCCTACCACTTCTTCCTACAAGGGGAAGTTTCTAGATGAAAAATAAAGAAACGAACAAATGAACAGACAAACCAAAGAAGGGAGACCAGGAAGAGCATGAGGGTGCCCCTGGAACTGCTACACTGCAAAGCCCTCCAGGACCTGTTTCATAAACATATGCATCCCCATCCAACAACACTCTGTGCCTCTGCGCTGCCGTGGAAAAAAGGAAATGTGACAGAATAGACTGAAAGTGAGAGGTGCAGAAGTGGCAATCACACAGTGACCTTGGAAAGCAAACATATTATTCCACTCCATCATTTCTAAGAATGCTGTTAACCGTTGGGGACTGAAATTTATGACAAGGAAGAGCAACTCTGACTGCATTTTTTCACTAATTTACTTATTGGCTCATTCACACCCTTATTTATTTATTTGTATGGGACAGGGTGAAAAAAGCAACAGCCACCATTTTTAAGCCAGCATGTTATTTCCTGTTACCCTTCAGCTGGGTGGTGGACAGAAATGACAAGAAGCCCACATCTCTAAACCGACATCAGGGAGTGGGCAGCTGAAAAGCTCACAGTGGTCATCTCATCTCACCACTTCAACTCCCTGCCAGCAACGCTGTTCAAAAGAAATAAATGACTACAATGTGGGGAGCACATGCGAGCTCAGGCATGCAGAGAGGGCATGGCTGTTCCACCTGACACCCTGGGGCCCCATAACCACGGGCCTGTCCCCCTTCCCTTGGCCACATTCTATGGCCCCCTGTGCACTGAGAGCTATAGTGCTCTCAGTATATAATAGTGTTGACAGCAACAGCATATACATCCACATGATAAAACGCAGGGAATGTGTTTCGGGAAAGAAGGCATGTGGAGAAGCACAAGAATGCTTTCATGAACTGATTCAGAGAGAAGTAAGCAGACAGAAGCAGGAAAACAATCTGCACAGCAACTACAGCAACATGGAGAGATAGAACCACAAATGTGAAGGAAGTACCAACCAGGAAAACAACCTGAGGCTACAAAGTGGGGAATGCACAAGAAAGCAAAACGAGGCTGGACCCAGCAAGGACCTTGACCAAGCCTAGCCTGAGACAGGTGAGAAAATGCCAGTCCCTCCCTGACTTACAGAGTTGGGGATTATGGGTGGGGAGTACTGTGATAGCTGCCAGACTCAGCTGATCTGTTGGTTATTCTGAGCGTCTCTCTCTCTCCCGGAGCCTGTCTCTCTCCCTTGATCTCTCTCAATCTCTATCTCTCTGTTTTTCTGTCTGTCTCCCCATTCCCTCTGTTTCCTAATTTCTTTCTTATCTTTCATTCCCAAATAGGGATCACTGAGTGAGGTGGTGGGGAGGAAAGAAGGTAAAGTCTGAACAACAAAAAGTACCAATGGAACCTTTAAAATGTCTACGTAAAGTAAAAACCAGGAGACTCCTTCCTGCCTGGCTCCGCTCCCACATTCCAGCTCTTTTCCATCTCTGTGACGCTGATGCCAAGGCAAATATTTTGAGTCAAGTGCTGTTCTCTCACCTTCCTGCCTCCCTCTGATGAAGAAGATGTCACTGCAGAGGGAGGTGGCCAGGCAACTCTGATCAAATGAGGTCCCAGTTAACAGAGACTGGCTGCACCCACAGCTTATGATGGACTGAGACCCCAGTGACTCCTAGCCTGAGTGAACTGCCCAGCAATCAACAGGAAGACTGTAAAGGGTGCAGAACTGGGAGCGGCCCTTCGCCCTTGGTAAAAGAAGGGCAAGGGAGTGTTTACACCTTGGTGCTCCTTTAGCCCCTGGCTGCCTAAAGGAAGACTTAGGAGCACTCCTGAGGTCCTGTTAAAGAAAGCTAGCCTGCTCTACCAAGGGGACACACCCTTAGGAGTCAGACAGTCATGTGTAGCAGTGCAGAGAAGCAGCTATGGAGGAAGAACCCAGCTCCAGAGAAGCACCTGCTCTTCACCTTTTTCCCTCATCCCCCACCTCCACCATGCCCCAGCAGCCCCCTCCCCCACCCAGAAGGTCCCTCTGCTCCTCTCACGCTGGTCAATTCCTCTCAGAAACTCCATCTGAAGGAAGTGCCCAGGACAACCTTGGTCACTCTGTCATTGCTCTCCAGGTTCTGCTTCTGTCTTCTGGTCTTCTTTGTCCATCGTGCCCCTTCCAAAGTATTTCCTCCCCATCCCCACTGGTCAGCTTCCTCTTAGGTTCTATCTTTCTCCATTAGAATGGAAGCTCCTGGCGGGCAGGGGCGTCCTGTTCCAGACAGAGCACATAGTAAATGATTAATGCCCGTTGACTAGTAGCCTTCCTTGTGCCTCTTCCAGAGCGCAGAGGGAGGTGGAAGGGACTGCCCTCCCAACTCCTTCCATGCTAAGGAACAAATCCCCCAACAGGAGTCACTGCACCTAGCAGAAAGCAGGACCAGCGTGTGAGGGTGCAGAGTTGAACAAGTTAGGGCTGGCAGGGAGATGAACGGCCAGCCCCCAGGGAGGCCAGCAGAGTGACCTACCCTGCAGAGGGGCTGCACCCAGGGGTAGCAGCATGAGTACAGCAGGAGATGAGAAAGTCCGCGCAGACCCAGCAGGGCCTTGGCCCCACACATGCATTCCCTAGGTGTGCACCTCTCTGCTAGCGTAAGCCATGACACCCACGTCCAAGCGGTCCATACTGCTGAGTGCTCCCCACAAACATACACGAGAAGCTAGCCACTCCCCTTCCCTACCCCCATCCCTTCTGGGTATCATCTGGCCTCAGTCAGAAGCAGTGCGCAGCTCTGAGATGGCGCCATCCTACACAATTAGGGCACACTGCAGATCGATGCTATATGGCAGGCTTTTCCTTTGGGGAGGAGAGGCTTCAAATCAAGGCTTCCCATAAACAAGTGACAACCGGGACAATCAGTGTAAACTGCCATAGTAGGAGTGTATTTCCCATTTAGAAAGAGAAAGCAGCCCCAGTCCTGGCAAGGCTCTTGACCATCTCCTAATGCTGCAACCTCCTGTATGCCTGAGAGGCCCCCGGGCCTATCCTGACAGTCATAAAGGATGTCAAAAAGGAGATTGTTAAAGGCAGACTTTTAATTTGCATTTATCACCAGTCTTATCGAGTCCTGTGCTCTCATTTCCCTTTTCTGAGACCAAATTGTGTCACTGATGAATGGGCCACCATTCCCCGTCCTAACAGGGTGCTGACTGATCTCAGGTCACGTCCAATGTACTTCGGTTCCATAAATTCCCCACTGCCATTCGGGACCTTTACAGTGAAGGTTCCAGCCTCCTCTTTCTTTCTGTCCTCCTCTAATGGCTCTGGCTTTCAACTGAACCAGGGGGACACTGGCCTGAAGCACAAGAATTATGTCTCCATTATAGACCTATTTGTTTTTCTTCCTGACAAGCAGCTGAGAGCAGCTTCCGCATCCCGTAAGCAAACCTACAGAAACCATACTTGTCACAACCCCCAACAACAAAACGAGCTGGGGTCTGCAGACAGAAACACAGACTTGGTGGAATGGCTGGATGGCGACAATCTACCCGCAGGGCAGCTATCCTGGGACCTGCCACCTCCCTCACTTTGTCATGATTTTGACTGCTCTCCTCCTTCATGGTAGTCATTCTCAAATCACCAGGCTCTGTGACTTAATGGAGAGATGAGAGAGGGGGGAGGGGCAGGGAAAGGAGAGGGAGGAAGAGACAGGGATGGAGAACAGGAGAGGGAGAAGGAGAGGGGGGAAGGGGAGGAGGAGGGGGGGGAGGGGGGGGAGAGAGAGAAAGACTCCAAACTAGAAAGCCCCAAGTTCAAGGCTCATCCCTGCCACACAATGGCTATGTGACCAGCAAAAACCACTGACCGACTGCCACCCACACACAGAACAGGAGGCCTGAGACTGGCAGCCCCCAGCCACCCTGCTCCCAGACTACCCTTCCTGCTTCCAACCCAACCTTCACAGCCATTATTCAGAGAATGGACTTTGTGCCCAGGGGAGCCAGCCATCCCCACCACCTGCCTGGCAAGGTGTGGGCATGCCAGTCTAGTTAAAGCAGCAAGGCATCCGAGGGAGAGCCAGGTGGCAGCACTCTGTGCCTGGCAATTCAAAGCACCATCACCACCCCCATGACCACCATCCATATCCCCTTGGACCCTGATGTGGACAGCTCAGGATCCTGAGTTCAAGAGCTCCCAGCATGGGCCTTCATACATCCACCTGGGAAGCGTCCCTGGCAATGGCTCCTGACCACCTAGAACAGAAAGCTGTCCCCACCAAAGTCAATGTCCAATGGTGCAACATCAGAAATGGATACAGGTCTGATCAGTGGAGACCGCCTTAAAGAAGAGGCATTGTTGCCACCTGCTTTGCCACTCCCCCTAAGGACCATGGGACTTTTCCATTTGATTTGCCACTGAAAAACATCCCAATGCGTTGTCTCCCCCAGGAGAATGTGAACCCCTTGAATGCAGCCACTGATTTTTCATGCTGTTTCCTGTGAATGGAATGTTCTTCTCCCTCTTCCACTGCTGAGTCTATCACTTGAGGTTGGTGGCCTCATGTGGCATTTCATGCTGCACCTCCCTAATGTACCCCAAATGTAGTTTTATATCTTAGACTTACAGGTGTTTGTGTCCTATCCCCCTACTAGGCTGCGGGCAGAGGGAGGAACTCTGTCTTTTCTAAAGTGTGCCTGGGGCCCTGTGCACACGAGCTACTCCAGGGGTCTTTGTTGAAGTGCCCACCTCTGGACAGAACCCTTAAGTGGATGTCCACTGTGTACCTGCAGGATGGATGGGAGGTACTCATTACCATGACAGAAACATTTGTTTATTGATCATGTTATTATTAACAGCTGGCTGCATCAAAGGGTGGAGAAGAGGATGGAGATGAGAGGCCCTTATATTTCAATCCAACCTCCTCCTCTGGGGCCAAGCTGAACCCCACTCAATTCAACCTGACCTCGAGCATTTAGTCTTGTCCAGATGGTCTCTGGGTCATCTGAGAGCCTGGGAAGGCTTTGGTGGATGTTTCCAATGAAGCTGAGAAAGTTCTAGAAGACAAGAAGATAGGAACCAGTGACAAGAACAATGGTACCAGAACTATGCCCAAAGGGCTATAAAAATGTGCATACCCTTTGACCCAGCAATAGCACTTCCAGGGCTGTATCCCAAAGAGATCACACAAATGGGAAAAGGACCCACATGTACAAGAATATTTATAGCAGCTCTTTCTGTGGTGGCAAAGAAGT